TCAATAGACAATAGAAACGAAAAAGATAGTTATAGCAGAGATAATGATAATTTCCACTATGATAAATACATAATTTTAAAATTAATATTAGAAGTGATAATAATAATAATAAAATATAATAATAACTGAACAAATATGTTATTGTTATTAACAACACAAACATGCTTCATTAAAACTTAAAAGTTTGAAGTGCAGAAACTATTATCTATTGATAATAAAATTCACCAAAGTAATTTTCAAAAACTTGACTAGAAATAATCATTTCACCCATAATCCTTGTAATACGCATATGAGGCTTGGTAGGTTATGAGATTTGCTGTTTTGGACCAAGATATTGATATTAAGTAATGATCCCTTTTACTACGTCACAACCGCAAAGGAATATCTCAAGATCACTGATATTTTTTTGAGAGAATATCATTTAAAAAAATGTGAGGCAGCATCTCTAAAAAAAATCAATTATATAATCAAATCCATTAATAATAAACCCAATTTAATATAGTTATCCAGATTTGTAAATCAACATCTCACAAATATATATACGTCTATTTGTTCCATAAAATAAGAGACATTGTATATTATTATATCATATAAATAATCTTCCGTTTTATTGAGATTAAAATTGATGTATCTGAAAATAGAAAATATTTCAATATTAATTTACAAAAACAAATAAATAACCATTCGAATTTTAGAGTATTTTTGATTAGATTAAGTTATGCAAATTTCTTAAATTACAAATTTAACTTAACAAAACTTCGGCATTTATTTCAAGTACATTATATATTTTTTTTCTTATTAAATATGTTTATCAAATAAGTACAAACATTCTTGTACACATTTTCTACCAAACATTAAATCATTTCAAAGAAAATTTATTTACTTTAATTATGAAGGCAGAAAAATCACGTACAATATATGTGATAGACATAAATTTACAGATTTACCAGCATACAAATAATATATTTTTTAATATTTAAGGCAAAATTATTATGGCTCCTGGTATTGTTAAAAAAAATACCAAAGAAGAGGAAGATAATAATAATGAAAACCCTGAAGCTTCAAATGCAACCTTTACAAAAGTTCCAGATTCCAGTCTAAAAGATTGCGCAATTCCATCTCAGCCCAATCAAAAGTCTCAAGAAGAATTACATGCAAAACCAAGTTTATTTGGAACTTATGAAACTGCTTTAGGAGAAAGTACTTCTAAAGAAATACCAACTTTTTTTGGTAGCTTACTAACCCCAAATATTAAGAACGTAATATTTGGTGTAGAAAATGTTTCTAAACCATGTACAACTGAATCTGTTACCAATACCTCTGCAATTCAAGAACATTCGGAAGTATGTGAAATGAAGTGTTCATCGAAACAGTTGGCAAGTTCTTCTATAATTCCAGTTGACTATGATATTTCCCTTGATACAAATATCAGTAAAGGCACTTTTCTTGATAGAAATTATTTAAAAGACGATTATCAAATCCTAGAAAACAATAGTTTCCCAAATCTGACTGACGATATTCCAGTAATAGACAATTACACAGAGGGTACTATTAACAAAACATTCGATGAAAACATTCACGACCAGTGTAATAAAATGGAACAAACAGCTATTGTCGAAAATAATTTGAATGAAAATTTGAATGAACGCGAAACTAATATAAACTGTATCGTGTTTGATTCTACAGAAACGACTTACACCCAAAAACGAGACATGTCTGTACAACCGTTTGTAGTTAGAGTACAAAGAATAAAAACTCCTACAATACAACCCACTAATGGTCTTAATCTAGCTAAGCAAAAAACAATAAGTAAAAAGGCACACAGGAAACTTCAAGAAAGTCTTTTTTTCAACGAAGATCTATTTCAGATGAGTGTTTCCACACAAACTCCATATAATCTCAGAACTACTAAAGCTCGTACTAAGCACAAGAAACAGGAACCAATTATAATCAATTCGAAAAAGAATAATAGGAAACTTAAATCTGTCACTAAAGCAAAAATTGGTCAAAGAGAGCAGCCGAGAGTTATAGATCTCACTCAAAGGAACGCAAATTATGTACAGCAAGTAGAAAATCTACGTAGTGAAGATCCTCAGTCATCTCGTAATTTAAGAGATAAACATTTGCACGAAAATTACGTGAATCGATTTAGGAAATCACAATTAAATCGTTTACTTGCTGAAGCTTTTAGTAATTGCTCGAGGGACAATCAAAGTACAGGTTGTCAATATTGTCGTCATGTAAAACGCCTTCAGCGTAATGTTACAAGTAGGAGGAATTTGTTGCATGATATTTTTCACAAGAATCTAAGCGAAACAAATCCTGAATTAATATCACACATGTTACACTCTGTTGAAGAGCCAGCAAGTGATGCTGAAGTCCTAACTAGTAGCACAAGAGTTACTACTAACCATTTATTAAAATCATTGAAAAATTGTTTAAAAAAAATGACCTCTCTTGTAACGTATTTAGATTTTTTGTTAGACCCTCATGCTAATAATATGTAGGGTTATTAAGATAATGATTAAAATATATGTATACGATTCAGTACAGATAGACGGGACGGCGCTCGGACAGAAACTTTAACAAAAACACATATGCCAATATTTAACCAAAAAAAAATAAACAGGACACAATCCAAAATTAGGACGCGAAAATATGCAAGTGAGCACGTGGTTTGGTAGTAGAATTAAATTTATATATAACTCACTTTAATTTTTAATGTATATTATATTTTTTCTAAATCCTTTGTTCCATAAAAGGTACACCAGACGATGATGACAGAAACTTAACGAAATGCGAAATAACTAAACGAAAAATTACGAAACCATACAACGATAATAAGTAGATCAAGATAGTAAAACAAAATAATACAGAATGAAAAATAACAATATGAAACATAATAATCTGAAATATAACAGAATGAAACAACACCAAACAAATATAAGAAACATAAAGGCTCAGTTAGACGGTAGGTAACGAAAACCCAATAGTCGCTGCCGTAAGCACATGAAAAAGATATGCCTGACATCATGTTTACAAAAGAAGCTGAGAAGTCATCATACTAATAAAATGTACTGGTAACGTATCAAGTCATGCGGATAGCGAAGCAAAACCCTTACTCTTCGTGAAATTAACCGAACGACAACAACACCAAATATGAAAAAAAATATCTGTCGTTCGGTATATATGTCGTTCGGGGAATTTCACGAAGAGTAAGCGGTTTTTTACGCTAGCCGCATAACATGATACATTACCAGTATATTAGTACTATTAGTACGATGACTTCTCACCTTCTTTTGTAAACATAATGTCATGTGCTTACCTTTTTCATGTGCTTACGCAGGGACATCTTGGATTACCTACCGTCTAACTGAGCCTTAAAGAATACCATATTACAAAATTAATCAGAAAAATACGAAACAATACGAAAAGGAACATAATGAAACGAAACACAGCCAAAAGAGTGATAGTTTAACTAGAGAAAGCCTAGGGGAACAAAATTAAGCAAAATGTGATTGATAGTACATAAATGAACTTTAGTTCACCACTAAAAGATACTGCATAAAATTAAAATAAAGGATTGTTAAACACCATTGGAGCACTTAAAACTTTTCTAAAAAGCACGTAAAAAATTCCAAATCAATTTTTTTCATATATTTATAAGAGTTTTTCTTAATAAATTCAATAATTTTTTATATATATAATTGTTGTGATCAGAACTTCAAAGATAGTTGCTTGAAATACAGTAAAATTTGATAAAAGGCTGAGATAAGTAAATATCAACAATAATATAATTGTTTTAAGTATTTATTAAAAAGGAACTATAATAAATAATGTTGAAACTGTGTGCGAGTTGAACTAAATTGACTAACCTAAATTAAAATTCGGTGAAAACTTTTTGCCGCAGTGTTTATATAGTCGAATAGGTATGTGAATTATTATAATAAATTTTAATTTTTAATTTTAATAATTTTAAATTTTAAATTTGGAAAACAAAATTTCGTTGAGAGAAAGTGAAAAAAAATAAAAAAAACAAATTATAACGTAAAAAAATGAACCATCGAAAATAAAAAAATTAGAAAGATGTGAATTTGAATTATGAGGTAGTTATTTTTATTGTATTTGGATAAGATATACCATCATTTACCTATATAATTGGTAAGGCTAAGTATAATGTCTTCTGAGCAAAATGGCCGGTGACAAGCCTTCACTGTGTCCGGATATTGTCATTTGACAACACACTGAGGGCATGGGTTTGTAACCATGACGATGACAAAGCTTCAATTAGTAGATAAGTGAAGGTTTGAACACGAGAATAAGCAATAGATACTTATGTAAATTTACAGCTAACTGTAAATTTACTTGTGGATAAAATTTCTAAAAGAATACAAAAAAGTTTATTCGCAGCTTTAATCAGTACTAAGTACGATAATATCAAATTTTGTTACGTGTTATTTATTATTAAAACGAGTATTTTAAACTAAAAATCACGATTTGACTTAAAATTATAATTCATTAATATTACAAACAAAAAGTTAAGCATAGAAATGCATTCATTAAGAATTATAAAAACTTATTAAATAAGTGTTAATATACCAAAAATATTATATCCCGTTAAATATTCCGATATATTGCGACGTATAGCACTATGGAGGATTATTATTGGTTTTGCATATATATATTTCTTATATTCGCTTATTAGTAATGACTTATGACGTATAATATTATGGAAAATTATTGTGTTATGTAGATATACATAAGTTATATTGGCTTATAAACTATGACTTTGGGAAGCATAATGGAATATTATTATTGCGATATATATCTTATTTTGATTTATTAATAATACATCTTAACCCATTAAGTACCAGGCAAGTTCAAACATTTTTATATGTGTTTTGTTCGCAAATATCGTATTTAGTTACTTTTATGATTAAATAACTATCATTGTAAGTTGTATAAAGTACAAGTATAAAATTCAATATTTTATGCTTTTTAAATATTTATTAATCAAAAAATATATTTGAATTATTACATATAAATTATCTTATATATATAATTCTTCTGTACGTGTGTTGACAGTGAACTCCTCCTAAACGACTGAACCGATTTTGATGAAATTTTTTGTGGGTGTTCAAGTGGATTCAAGGAAGGTTTAGATTCACAATTTGGCCCACTGGATAATGTCTTTTTAATTAATTTTTTATTTTTTGGTATCCATACACATTTATATTAGAAATTTAAAATTTATTCATGCTTACTTTGATTTGTTTAAAAAGTTTAAAATCTTTAAAATGAATCGTAAAACTGCCGTTGCATTAAATGTCTAATATAAATGTATATGGATACCAAAAAACTGTATAATAATTAAAAAACCGTTATCCAGTGGACCAAATTGTGAATCTAAATTTTCTTTGAATTCACTTGAACACACACAAAAAAATAGAATTATATATATAAAGATATAAATAACGTACAAAAAACAATGCCACGTCTTCGTGGACGAGGAGGAAATATTGGTCGACGGAGTCGGAATTCACAATTACTCTAGAACCGTCGGTTAAATAGATCGGCAGAAAACAATGAAAATGTAAGAAACCAGGATACAATCACACGTGCTAATGAAAGTCAAGAGCAACGCAACGAACGCCAGGAAAATTAATTGCAAGGGGAAACAACGTTCGCTGGGTCAGCTAGTATTATATAAAATAAATAAGGTTACTTGCGTCATTGTCTACGATCAATGTAATATTGTTTATTTTCATAGAAAATTTTAAAGCAATTTTCTACATGACCATTTAAATGACACTTTTCATATATAAAATCTGTGGCTTTGGTAAATTTCCCGGAACATAAACATCTTCTACAGCACTGTGACTTTCCTTTTTCAAATCATCGTAACCGGTAGCTTTTGTAATGAACATTGAGTTCTTTAATGGAAGACGAAGGTTCCTGGCAATGAAATTCTTGAAGTCTAACTGAGGCATCGGTTTTGTGTTGGTAAAAGCAGCGACAAAGCAATTTAGTTTCCAAGCGTTTACTACAGCACTATCTAAACACTGTACCCATAATGGCCACCACCCCTTTTTGCTTCTATTCCCGATATGATAGTTAGCAACTGCATTGTCATGTAAATCGACGCCGCCCATGTGTCGGTAGTAGCTGTTGATAACTTGAGGCTGCGAGACACCAACCATTTTTTTCTCTCTGCTATAGCGTTGCACATTTAGTATGTGTTCAACGGAATCATACAGGTGGCAAATATTATTATTCAATAGGTAGCGGAGTGTTACTTGGTACTAATGACTCATGTTTGCTCCAATTGTCAGTAATATGCAATAGTTCCAGATTTCTTAGATATCTTAGGAACGACATAATAATTTATTTACAGTAAAAAATTAAAGACAGGACTTATAGAATGAACAACTGTAAGCCCTATATAAAACGATCAAATTCAGACTAACTCAACCAGCAATTAAAAATCAAAATAGATTTGATACTATTATGCATAGTAAAAAACACAAGTATAAGTAGATCAGAAGAGTATGATATTCATTAGAGAGATTACTCTCATGTTATTTTATTGTCTAACGACAAACATTTATTGAAACTAATTGCGTTGCACTAAATTTTCTTTTTCTCCAGAAGCAAATTAATACTTGGATTATGGTTGTAAAATTTTATTTATTTTGGGATATGCTGAGATTATTGTTATATACTATATCAACATTTAAATATTTTTTATTCACCTCTTACTCATCTTTGTTAATATGCTCAGAAAACTATTTTAGAACTCGCTTTTATTATATTTAATAATATTAGCACTCTAGGTATGCTAACTGGAAGATGAGGTGTGCATTTAAGAAACCATAAGAATAAAGAACATGAACGAGGAAATTGTTTCACCTAAAGACGGTATTAAAAATGTAAGAAAAAATGCTTTAATCGTAAAATTCATCATTTTTGCTGAGTTAAAAACAGTTAAAGATAAGGATATATATTTCCCGTTTAAAGTTCCAACTCGGTATATTAAGACGGGTTAAGTAAAATATTACGCAGCAAATTTAACCTGCAAAATTATCTCAATACACCATATTGAGTAAAGTAAACTCCAAATACTTGGAGTTAGATATGTTCTCGTCTTTTGATTTTTTTCTGGTAAAATTTTCGAGGACTGAGCGCAAATTTGTCACCGAAAGCTCGTTCGAAAATTGCCTCTAAAATAAGTGATATGTGATAAAATTCCAATGATATTGACTGTTGAGATATAAGTGTCACTTATAAGTGATAAGTAATAAAATTCCAATGATAATTACTCTTTACTTCCACAATTTTACAGAAGAATATAAGTGCATATATATAATACACTATGTTATAAGAATGTAATATATAAATTTATATACAAAATATTCTTATTATATTATAAAAACATAATATTTCTGCAATAACTAATAAAAAAACAATACCTTAACTCTAAACGAAGAGTTAATATTCGCCTATTAATATTTCTTACCAGGAAAATTAGAATTTTATTTCTAGGACATATTTTAAGACTATTCTGAGTAAACAGTAAAATCATTAACAGAGAAATTTTTAGTATTTTTTATATAAAATTAAAATAATTGTTCTGCTTCATCACACTAACTTCCTAATGACGTCTTTACCACTTATCGTAAAATTGAATATATCTTACATTTTTATTATTGTATATACTCGTATTAACAAGTCTAACAAAAATATGGAACTCGAGATATATTATAAATTTCTAATGTAATTTATTACTTCCTTACCTTTGAGGAATTTTATATTTTTCATCTTATATCAAAAATATTATTGAATTTACTTGAATTGCAAATATATGTTAGCGATGAAGCTAAATTATATTTGTAAATATATATATTAAAATAAAATAACATAAAATTCAGTAATATGTACTTATAAAGGCAAATAAAAAAATTTTAAAATTATATTTAAAATGAGAAACCTTGTTTTTAAAACTTGTACGTCTGCAATGTCCTTTTATGTTAACATTTTTAAGCTCATTAAAAATTTTCAACTGAAATATTTTTAACGGAAGTAAACTGCAAATGAAGTTTCGTACAAGCA